ATTTTAAAAATTGCACAATACTACTTAGTATTATACACTTCCTCCACATGACGTAATTTATATTAGGTTGAGGATCGATGGGAATGGCTTGATGGCACCAACGTGGATTACTCAAACTGGAAGAGCGGAGAACCAAGCGACGGCCCTCATCTTAACGAGGATTTTATTGTGATGCGTGGCGTGGATTCCCAATGGAATGACGTGAGTGGTGAAATGATAATCCAATTTATATGCGAAAAATCGGCAACTACTGGTATGTACACATTCACGATCCAAGCTATTCAAGTCATTTTTTTTTTATTCTTCTTTCTATATTGTTGTATTCAATTTGTGTGTCACACTTTAAGTAATAAATAAAGCACCGGACATGTTTTTAAATAAACGCAGCACCCCCATAGTTAGTGAACATTAAAATTACATTCTAAACCCATTAGGTATACGTCACTCCCTCACGAGCTGAAGAAGCGAACCCGAGATACTACTCATATTAAACACAAATACATATGTGTACCGTGATTTCCAATAGTGTTTCAATTTGTTTTTATTTGTATGCTAGTAAGGACCCTCGAAACTCATATATAATTAAACACAAGTTGTACCTGCGTTTTCATCCCACCAGGTAGCACCACTGAACACTCATATCCATCAAAAACGATTGAAGAACCTGTAGAAAACGAAATAAATTCTGCTACAAGTATAATCACCCAGAATGTGTATGATGAGAGCACAGAAAAAACAGAGAAGATGACACAAGAAGGTAATAATTTGACTACAACATCGTTTTTTTTTTATACAGTTTTAATGATAGTATTACCAACATTATTATTTATTGAATCAATAGAACTAGTAGTCATGTCATATTTCACTGCGTGTTTGTATATGATGATGGCAGTAAATATATGCTGCATGGCAGTCTGACTATCTTTTTATGCTTTATTCACTTCATTTCTTTTTTAGAGTTCGTAAGTCAGAGTTCCGAAGGTATTAATTTTAATTATAGCCATAAAACCACAAGTAAGAATATTAGTGACACAGACGAGGAATATAGTGATCATTTGACAGGTACGTAAGAATGGGAGAATGATTGAAAGTTCAATTTATTTTTCACATATCCAATTAATCTTTTCTCAAGTTTCGCCTCAGCTTTTTATTGTTTTGGTAAATACTGAATTTGGTTATTCATATGTAATGTCAACAAGTTACAACTTGTGATACAGAATGTGACGGTGAATGAACTTGACATTGGATATTTTCGTGAAAGGTTTAAGCCCAAAATGTACTTCTCATTCAGACGACTAGCATACTAATTGTAGTGCAGAAGATGGGATACAAGAATATTTTATACGTGAATCGCTTGATACTGTTGATCCTACAGTAAAATACACCCGGGGTGAATTCGACCACTCGTCAAATCCGTTTTTTCTGTGAATTCTGAATTAATAGTATTTATTTGTAAATGTTGAGCGCGATGAAAACTGGACTACACCAGAATCAAGTGTAGGTAAACCGTATTTTATGTTGTGTGCTTTTGCATGTTCTCGTTAGCGTTGTGCGTTTGACTGAAAAGAAATAATTATAAAAAGAAAACACGGCAGTTTGAAAAATTTAACAACATAACCTATCACATCACATTCAGAAAAATGTGTTATAATTTTGTATTTACTCTCACCCAGGCATTCCATTACTAACACAGATATATCAAAATATGTAATACTTTGTTTTATTGGAAATAAGTTAATGTTTGATATCATTGGACATTTTTTACACGGCTATATTTTATAGGTGTGTCTTATTTTTTATCTAACTGAGAAATGCGATATCAGAGTCCATTATGTGTTACTGTTTTAAAAGCTGTGCTATGAATAGTTAGTGAAATTCGATTTACATAATATTAGTATTATTCCTCTGCGTTTCATTTAATCAATATTTGTATAGAAGCGTGTTTTGAATTCTCGCCGTACCACGCCAAACGTAACAACTGATACTGGCGGACACAGTAATGTTGTGGAATGTAATTAATACGCAACTAACCTTGTAGTTACAGTATCTGATGCATAAAGATACGTGTAACCATTACAATGTAATATAATGCATATAATATCATGGTCATTAAAATCATTACATTTTAGGTAACAAAGATACTTTTTTTAACCGTGCTAAAATTGTTTTAATAGAATCGTCTTGGTTGACGTACAATGGTCCACTGTTGGTACTTTTAGTATGCTCTGTATCTATTCTGGTATTGTGTTTTAACATGGTGTCATGCTCTTGTCGTCGAGGCCACGACAAGTATGATACACCTGACGCAAAACCAAATGAAGAAAACGCTATACGTGGAAAGACTTTCGTGGAAGATAATGAAGAAAATATAGAGATGGAGGACAGAAGAACAAATATATGGCATATGTAAAGAAAGAGTTAATATTATGCTACATAACAAAAATAAATGGCATGTAATTGTCTAAAACACTGGGGATTGTTTTGTTCTAGACTTTATAGCGCGGTTTCATTGGTGTTTTGTTTTTGCATTCACTAATATATAGAGGCTGTCATCGGGATGCTTTGTAAATACTACCTGACTTACATATTATGGATAAACAGAGCTGTCTAAATCAAATGTTACAACTGTACAGCAGCGTTTATTTATTTATTTATTTATTTATTTATTTATTTATTTATTTATTTATTTATTTATTTATTTATTTATTTATTTATTTATTTATTTATTTATTTATTTATTTATTATTTAATTAATTCACTCGCTCACATTTTTATTATGCTAAAAATAAAAAGCATGTTACGTATGTCGTACTATTATAACTCATACAATACATAATAAAATATATGATAATAGATAAAATACTAACGACATCGATGTATTCACCCAAACACCGGTAAATCATAAATGAGTACTACAGATGCTAGTGTGCTGAAAAATTCGTGCTTCTTTGTTTGTATAGGGCGTTACAAAAACAAAATTAGTTTGTCATTTTAATTTAAATTGTTTATTTGTCTACATTCTCTCATAATGTGTATAATTGTATTTTTTTGGTATATGTAATAATAATGTATTCATACATTCGTTCATTTATTCATTATATAATAATAAAACAGACCAAATCGTCATAATAGTCTCTGAAACTTACGTGTTTTTTCTCACATTTACCATGTGATCATAGTTTGTGCCGATAGAGTTAAATCTTTTCTGTTATTGTTGTAAATA